TTGACAGTTGTGTATAATAGGGTTAATAGTGAAATGTTAAAGATAAATAGCGCGCGCGTAGCGCGCGTCTGTAGTGTCTAGTCCTTTTCTAAAAAGGAGATGTGAAGTTTATTGTTGCCGCTTTTCCGCGATGCCGATTGGTTTTCTTGCTGCGCTTACTTCATTTGCAGCTGTCATTGTATATTTTGACAGTTGTGTATAATAGGGTTAATAGTGAAATGTTAAAGATAAATAGCGCGCGCGTAGCGCGCGTCTGTAGTGTCTAGTATATGTAAAAAACTAAAAAAACAATATTTATCTATTTATGATTTTCTGTATAATGTTTATATTTTGTAATCTTTTTATGATTAGCGATGGAATCAAGTTCAATTTAAAAATCCGAGTCAAATCCAATAATAAAGTTTTATTTTCTAGTAGGGTTTCAATAATATTCATAAGAAGTATAATAATATTTCATCATATACTTGCGAAGTAATCGATCCCGACTGGTTAGTTTCGAATTTCAGAATGAGTATATATCTGCAGAATTTGAAATATACTTCTAAATATAGTTTCTATCGTAAGGAATCAATTAAATCTTTTGAGATAGTGAGGAATTAAACAAGAAGTACTCTAAGAATAAAATTAGTTTAAAGAATGTATATATGTATAAAGTTGTTAGTTTTTAAATTTAGTTTAAAGAATGTATAAATTTAATGTATAAGATTTTAAGTAACTTTGATCCTATATTTTTAACCATATTTTTATTATATTTAATTTTAAGAGGATGCTGGAGTCGTCTGTTTTAACGATAAAATTACCATTTTCGTAGTCTCATCTTTCGTCGCATTAAGGGGATGCTAGAGTGACGGCCGAACTTCCTCGGTGTCGATAATGTCAACATTTCTAATTTTGTTTTCTCTGGCTGTATTCCGAACGCAGCCTTAATGCTATAGTGTACAGACGTAACTATAGCATTTTAGTTAACTAAGGCTGCGTTCGGAATAGCACCTCTATATCTGTCTTTGTCTAACGAAATGACATCTGTCCTTTGTTCGATTGCTGCGCCATCTCTCGCTACACGCAGGGTGCATTCGGGGAGACGCTATTAACGCTATAAACGCAAACGCTATGAACTTCGTTCGAAGAGCCAATAGCGCGACAGCGATAGCAAGCTCCCCGAACGCAGCTTAAGCGCCAATAGTATTTCGTGCCTCACCTCGAAAATAATAGCGAAAATAGCGCGAGTGACGACGTCACGCTGCCTTTACAGTGACGTCACCATCGTATATCACAGCGCCACAAAGCGTCTCCTCGAACAGTTTTGGACGATAATTGTGCTAATAGCGTGCTCCCCGAATGCACCCGCAATACTACTCCGCACGCATACATACATACATATGAGATTTTCAGACAAATTTTTCTCTTATACTAAAGCTTTTAGGATCATTTCTGAAAACACAACATTGTTCTTTTTTGCAATTCCGAAGGTGCTGTATATGCTTATTTTATACGTACAAAGTCTAAATTTTTATGTGCAGCAAATGTTGTCACGAGTCGAACTATAATTTTTCTTTTTTTTTCGTTTTTGATGTAAAGTCGACTGCAGCACCCTCCGTTTTTGTACGTACTTTAATTCTGTAAAAAAGTTTTTACAATTCCGTAAAGCCAATTCAAAGTTTAGTCTGTTCAAAAAAATGTCGGTAATTCTTATTGCCACTCCAGCAGCCCCTTAAGGGGATGCTAAAGTAAGTGACTCAATTACCGACAATTACAGTCAAAGGTCTAATTTTGAAACGGCTTTATAGATCGCAAAATCCTTTTACAGGAGTAAAGTATAGGTACTAATGAAGGGTGGGAATGTAAAATAATTAGTAATAATTGAAAAAAATTAAAAATGCTGTTACCTCATTTTCTAATATAAACAGTTGTATAAGTAATATGTACGAAATGAAATGTTCCCACCCTTCAGAAGACGTGCACAAACAATAATGTACCTTTGAAATTGAGATTGAAAGCCTGGAATAAAAATGAGACGTTCGAAGAAATTATAACCTATAACCATTGCATGTCTATCCTTGTCTATCATCATTGTCTATACAAGGACAGATATAGAATTTGGTCGGTAATACGAAAGGCTTTAGGATCCCCTTAAGGGGATCCTATAGTGGCGGTAGTTACCGACATTTTTTCATTTTAAGAAATCTTTGAATTGGCTTTACAGAATTGCAAGTTTTTGGTCTAGAATTAAAGTACGCACAAAAATCTACATCGCGTTATACAATTTCATATCGAAACAAAAAAAAATTAAAATTTTTACTAATTTGGGCACATACAACTATCATCTGACGACAATAACAAAATTACTGCAGTTTATATATAATGACACCAAGGCGACGTAGGGACAACATGTAGGAACAATATCGTGTAAATAAAACTAAGATTCAACGACTAGAAAAAAAGATTTTGTAAAATGAAGTTTTATTAAGCAAAAGCACATTCAGTTGATAGGATAAGCAGTATTGCGTGTAGCGAGAGATGGCGCAGCAATCGAACAAAGACAGATGCCTCTCGTTAGACAAGGACAGATATAGATATATAACATAGAAAACAGGATTAGGAATGTTGACATTACCGACGTCGAGGAAGTTCGGCCTTCGCTATAGGATCCCCTTAAGAGGATCCTGCAGTGATAGACGAACTTCCTCGATATCGATAATGTCAATCTTTTTAATTTTGTTTTCCCTATATCTGTCTTTGTCTAACGAAATAACATCTGTCCTTTTTTTATTATTGATTGCTCGCCATCTCTCGCAAGATCCAACAACTACTGTTGCTGCTCTTCTTGTCATTCTGCATCCGTATTTGCATTACTAAAATAATTTTTCGATGGATCTTTTTTTGTACGCATTGAATCTTACTTCTACTTGCACGATATTATTCCTACATGTTTTCCCAAGGGCAGATGATAAACATTATGTATGTATAAACTGCAGAATTTTTGTTTTAAGCAAATATTGTCGTCAGGTGACAGATGCGACGTGCCCAAATAAGTAATATTTTCAATTTTTTGGTGTTTTTGATATAAAATCGCGTTTGTTACCCTAGATTTTTGTGCGTACTTTAATTCTGTAAACGATTTTTGCAATTCTATAAAGCCAATTAAAAGATCCATCGAAAAACAATAATGTCGGTAAATCATACGGCTGCAGGATCCCCTTAATTTGACAGAATTAAAAATGCTTCTCCATGGTCTAAGAGCAAAGCCATTTTTTTTATTTTCACACAATATTTATTGTTTATCAATCTTTTCATAAATTGATACGATAATGATAGTTAATAATACACGTTTTTAAAAACTCATGGACGTTAAAAACAATTGAGGCCATCGTCAGACCCCTCTGCCGCGCGCCGGCTTTGTGCATTTTCAATAATTTTTTTAGAGATGTTGCCACCAAAATTTTCATTTGGCTTTTTTTGGTGGCATGTGTTAGCACTATATTTGTTACTAAAAAAAAACCAGCTTTTATAATATGACTTGAAAATAATTATTTTTAATTATTTATGATTAAGCCTGGCGACTAATTCCCCCGAGCAATCGAACTGGCAATTTATTTGCATGTTCCTGAGTGATGAATTATCAATATCCGATAAAAATTAAAAGACTTATACTATGACTTGAGAATCCATTTTTTTTCACCTGCGTACTTCTAAACCCCCCAGGTACGGCCAGCCAGGTGTTCGGATTATCGAAGGAGAGTCGGCCACGCAGGTTAAAACGGAAAATCATATTTTACAAAATTACTTGGCCAAAAGTGTCGTCAGCTCTCCGACACTCCTTACCTACTTCTATCTCAATATGGCGTCTCAAGTTTTAGACGAGCTGTCAACTCATCATAACATGTACCTTGTCTATCATTGTTTATATCCTTGGCTATACAAGGACAGATATAGGCCGGTAGAAAATAATTGAAATTATCGACATCGCGCGACTTCGGCCTTTGGTATAGCATCCCCTTAACGCTTAATAATCTAATACTTTAATTGTAATTATCAAGAAATAATATATTAAAATAATTGTCAGTTTATACAAACATTTAGATTTTAAGGAACATAAAATTTCTAGTAAAGTACTTCATAAAAGATTTGAACATATATTTGATCTAGGTTTGAGTTCACTCTGAAAAAATCTCGTTTTTTGAGTCATTCACTACTCATAGAGTTTTAACTCATTTTTAGGTTCGAGTCTACTTGAAAGTACTGTTTTTATTTTTCAAATAAGTATAAAGAGTTTGAAACTATGCCAACATTTGAATCTAAAATATTGTAAAATACTTAATCTTATCGCTACGACATTCCAGACGCCGAGACCAAGACCGAGACCCACGCCGCGACCGCCGACGACAGTATCGTCACCGCCGGATCCACGTCCGGACTGTCCCGGTTCCTGCATCGTATCCTATTTGTCGTTCACCTGTTTCAGTAAGTAGCGGTCGCGTGAGGAATGCGCGCCTCGCGCAGACGGTGTCTCATGTTTATTCAACACGTTTGCAGGAAACGCCGAGCTGACGAGCTTGTTCAAGTGCAAGAAACAGGGACACCAATGCTGCGCGCCGAAATCTCTGATAAGGGAATTCCACGGTGGAAATTCTACGGAGCCGGTTCTGACCAACAGAAACGACACGTTCCATGTTACCTCGCGACCTTACACCACCCCGCTCCCTACGTCATGTAAGTGTCTGGGAATTGAGAAATGGTGAATGTTGACAAAAGACTCAGCTCCGATGACCTTGGCTTTGACATATATTATAGAGGCCTCCTGAGTAACCTTCAGAAGATTTTAGCCGTCGCTCGCTATTTATTAAAAAGTTATTAATAAAAAAAAGTTTAAGAAATATAACAGTTTGTGTCAGTACTAAACGAAGTAATTTGTTGATATGTGTGTATAGACAGTACACATGTAGGTGGAGGAGGAGCGGTAGTCTCTTCCCCGTAGGCAGGAGTGGGTAGATCTCGGTTCGTATGGAAAGTTGAAACCCCGAACCGTACATACGATAGACCTTGTTTCGCTCTGTAAGCAGGAGCTGTGGGGTAGGGTGGGGTGGACCTCGCTTCGCTTGGATGGTTCTCTGGACAGCATTACACTCCACGTAAAGCGAGATCCACTCCACTCCACCCTACCCCTGCTTATAAGACGAAACGAGATCTATTATTGTACAGTTGGGGTTTTCAACTTTTAACGCGAACCGAGGTCCATATATGTATATACTTTTATGCAACACGTGCATGGAAAGTGCCCCATTACGCACGCTACGCGTGCGTAATAGACCACTTTTCAGGCACTTGCAACATAAAATAGGGAGTGTAAGCCGTGTGTAAAGATGAAAATTCCCGGGTGTGGAGTTTACGCACGAGCCGAAGGCGAGTGCGGTAACCGCACCCGGGAATTTTCATCTTACCTCACTTGTTACACAAATAACTATTATATCACACGTGCGTGGAAAGTGGCCCATTACGCGCGCGCCATCTGTGCGACAAATAGCCAATTCCACACACGAGTCGAAACAGTGCGGTAATGTTTACATGTAAACATTATCGCACTGTTTTGACTCGTGTGTGGAATCGGCCATCCGTCGCACAGATGACGTGCGCGCAATGGGTCACTTTCCACTTTGTAATATAAAATAGGGTGTGTAACACGTGTGGGTTGAGAATTGGACACGAGTGCGGAATGGACGCACGAGCCGAAGGCGAGTGCGATCACCCGTCCAATTCTCAACTTCCCGCACTTGTTACACAAATAACTATTCTATGCCAACTATTTTCTGCTTTAAAGGTGGTTCATGCAGTACTTGCAAGTCAAATAGGCAACTATTCTTATTGTGATAAATAAGTGCAATTTTTGTCCGTAAAAATCAGCATATAATTAGATTTATTATTTATGACATCTTTAATGTTATACGACCTCTACGTAATTAAAATATTGAGACGAAAGTCACATTTTTTACTAGAGTTGTGAGCCGTGTGAATATATGTATGTACAACAGCATCGTATAACATCTTTAATGTTATACGACCTCTACGTAATTAAAATATTGAGACGAAAGTCACATCTTTTACTAGAGTTGTGAGCCGTGTGAATATATGTATGTACAACAGCAGCGCGGCAACGTTATGATAAATAGAATAAACAACCCGAGAAAAAATGATTAGATATAATCACATATGATTATATAAAATCGACATTAGATATAATTAGATATAAAAAATGGCCCGATATAATTGTATATAATTATATATAACCACATATAATTATATAACCATATATGGTTATATATAATTGTATGTGGTTATATCTAATTATATTTAATGTTGATTTTATATATAATCATATGTGATTATATCTAACATAATAAATATTTTATATATATTAAAAAAGAATTCTGTTAACTTCGATTAAGGAATAAAGCATTGATAAATTAAGTGTATATTTTTTTCAAAAGCCAGAATTAAAAGTGAAATGATTTACATATAACTTGGCGCTGGTTGGCGTGAGATACTGCCGTGTCTCTTATGATACCATTCTTATACCATTGTTTGTCAAATTTTAAATACGAGAAATAAATCCTATCGGATGCCATCTATCGGATAATCCGAATTTAAGTTTATATATGGCTATATATAATCATATATAATCTACATGGATAAATGCTTAATTCTTATATATATATATATATATATATATATATATATATATATATATATTATATAAATTATATCATGTCAAAATGTATGTGAAACTTTATATATATATATATTTAATAGGATTCGTTTCTCGTATTTAAAATTTGACGGACAGTGGTATAAAAACGGTATCAAGAGACACGGCACTATCTCATGTCAAGCAGTGCCAAGTTGTAATATATGCATGGAATAAATCATTTCACTTTTGATTCTATAGCTTTTGAAAAAATATACATCTTAACTTATCAATGCTTTATTATCGAAGTTAACAGTTCTTTTCCAATATATATTGACTATATATGGTCATATATGGTCATATATGATTATATATGATTATATATAATTATATATGATCATATAGAGACAAAATTCATATATAATTGCATTATATATAATTATATATGTATATTTATATATCTCCAGGAAGATGTCCTGACTGACTGACTCACTCACTCACTCACTCACTCACTACTCGTCAACGCCCAGCCCAAACCCCTGAACCGAATTTTTACCAAAAGTATATGAAATAAGGGTAGAATTTTCCGGGGAGTGCCACTATGTGTATAGTTTTTTGTTACCGATTTTCTGGAAACCGATTTTTTTAATTTTTCCTATTTTTCGAAAAATAATTGATCAAGTCTCAACAAATTATAGATCAAACAAAGATAGAATTTTCCGAGGAGTACTATGAAGTGTATAATTTTTTATTACCGATCTTTCGGAAGCCGGTATCGAAATTTTTTCAAATAATTTTTACCAAAAGTATATGAAATAGGGGTAGAATTTTCCGGGGAGTGCCACTATGTGTATAGTTTTTTGTTACCGATGTTTTGGAAGCCGGTATCGAAATTTTTTCAATCTTTCGGGAATTAATTGACCGAATCTGAAAGAATTGTATATGAAGTAGGGGTAGAATTTTACGGCGAGCGCCATAATGTGTACAGTTTTTGTTACCGATCTTTTTGGAAACCGGTTTTTTTAATTCTTTCAATTTTTCGGGAAATAATTGATTAAATGTCAAAGAATTATACATGAAGTAGGGGTAGAATTTCCCGGGGAGTGCTATAAAGTGTACTATTTTTTATTACCGATCTTTTTAAAAACCGGTTCCGAATGATCGAATCTCAAAGAATTGTACATAAAGTAGGGGTTGAATTTCCCGGGGAGTGCTATCAAGTATATAATTTTTTGTTACCGATCTTTTTGGAAAGCGGTATGAGTTTGACGTCAGAAGTTTGACGAATTTTTCGGGAAATTAATCGAATTTTAAAGAATTGTATTTAGAGAGAGAGAGAGAGAGAGAGAGAGAGAGAGAGAGAGAGAGAGAGA